CAATGCCTTGGCACTAAGCTGCCTCACTTTAGCGCCGAGGTCTTTCCCGTTTAGCCTTGTCAAGCTCCCATCCAGCCCGCCTAGTTCCGTCAAGGTCTTGGCCTTGCTTGTACGCAGCCCACTCTTGCTTTGGTGTAGTCCGTCACACCTTAGCCCTCAAATACAAGTGTAGTCCGTCTCACTTGTCTTAGCAACAGTTTGTTGCCATCGACAATACCCCCGCATTGTCTTGCATGTTGATTTTCCCCGGCACATAGGCCAATGGCAAGGCCATCATGCCAAAATCCTCGCCACTGCCATGCCGCTCGCCGATCAGCTTTGTCAGGGGTCTAACACTATACACCCTTACAAACTCCTCCCAAAATTTCAACACAAAACCCTAAATAATTTTCTCTTCTTTTCAAGTTTTACTTGGAGGAAAATCTAAGGGTTGAAGAACCAAGTTAGGAGCTGATATTTTCACCAAATAAGGTAAGTATACTGACTCTTTCATCCATTTTTTCAGCGAGAAAAGTAGAAAAATTCTTTCTATAATTGTAATAACTCACGGGACGGTGATTGGAAGTCGTGAGTTCGAGTTATTCAACTTGTAATGGACTGTTTTGTGGGTTGTTTCGTATTGTTGTTGGGTTGTTGGCTTTGAAAGTTTCTAGAGATATTGCATGCCAAACGAATAAGCTTTCACTCTCTTATGCCAAATGATATTAACAGATAGAACTTTTGTTCTATATGCAGCCTACAAATTCAGATTTTATCAAAGGCTGCACCTTTTTAGGCGTTGTTAAAGGCCTAATATGTTGTAGTGATATATCTCATGTACTTGTTTGCAGAAATATTGTGCAATATAAATTCTTTCATTACCTTCTCAAGAATCTTTTCAGCTACATGCTCAATTTGTAGTATTCTACCAACTGTTGGCACCAGAGTTTCGTGCCATTTGATGTCAAGCTTTTTGTTCAACTTAATTCCGTCGTCAATAAGTAAGATAACAATTCTTGCAGCTTTGAAGCAAATAGAAGCACTCGCCTCCAACCCAAAGCGTCGACGAGATTCTTCAACAGCATCCAAGGATAAGCTTGAGCCATACAGTTCACAAATTTCATTTAGGCCTCTCTGAAAGAAACAGACAGTACTTTAAGAAGAATGCCGAAATAGCAAAAGGATAATGTCTAAGAACTGGATCCATGATCATGACAAGCTAACAGAAAGAATAAGTAAAAAGAGCAAATGACAAGAACACCTTTGGCTTGTCCTTGGCCAGACAATATGAAGTAATGATTTATAGCACAACCACACTCCTAAAAAGGATGCGAGGGAACTTTTATTTTTATTTATCTCTATGTTATTCCGATAGATCAAACAGTAAAGGAGGAAAAGTACAGCATAGAACCAAGACATATCCCATTTAAAAATGGAAACGTACAATAAGAACATAATTGTTGCGTGAAAACTCAGGGATCCGGTCATGTTCGATATCATCCAAGCAAAGTACACGGAAAACTAAGTGCTGAAGGCATAATTAGAAGTGTGACCACTTAGGTCTACATTGCCACGATATTGTTCTATGGAAGCAGGCGGTTCTTTAACTGCTTATTAAGTTTTTAGATGGAATGGTCACAAACTTCAACACTAAGATTTCTCTTCAAAGGCACAAGAAAGTTATTACTTTTTTATGGAACAACAAATCCTCATCGGTTCCTATTATAAACTATAAAGTATAAACACAGTTACTTCAAACATCAAAATTTATATGCCAATTTTTTCATTTTGACGCATCCTGGAATGTTTGACACTATTTTACTGATACTACTCTTTGTGACCGGTGGCGGAGGCAGGATCTCCACGAAGGAGGTTCAAATTTTTTTTTTTGTAGCTAGTGGAAATTGAATCTATGACCTTATGAAGGTTTTGAACTCCCTTGACCACTAAACTGCATTTTTGGGTTGTGTTAAGGGGTTCAAAACTTAATATATAGAGGTAAAAACCAGATTTTGCCTTATATATACAGTATAATTTTTCGGCGAAGGAGGCTCCGGTGAACCCCTTCCGCCCCTAAATCCGCCCCTGTATGTGACTTTAACAACTTTCAAGAAATTAAATTTGTACAACTATTCAAATTGTAAACATTACGATGATGTTTTCTCTATAAAATTAACAGTTATTCTAACATTTTCTTTTATTGCCACTAATACAATATATAAGCCAAGTAGACATATTAAATAATAGAGAAAGTATATAAACCAAATTACCATGTTATTCTTGCATCTTTTTGTATTCTTACTCAGGGGCGGAGGCACAAGTCGTCCTACAGGTTCGGCCGAACCCATTAGCTTTTGCTACAATATATTTGGTGTTTTAAATTTATTAAATATGTATAAATATTAAATCTAAAACCCAGTGTCGTGATCTCAAAATCCAGAACCCATAAGGTTGCTCCGCCTCTATTCTTACTTCTATCTTCTTTGAGTAACGTTAAGACTACTAGTACCTCAGTATCTATACATGGTGAGGGGGGGAAATGGTGCAAAATAAGGTAATTGGGAAATTGTGGCGGGGGATAAGAATAGGCCTTGAAGTCGATGGGTTGAAATGAATCAGATAAAGTGTCGCCTATGATTTCAGAGAAGCAGCTGAGGAAAGGGACAGTGGAGTCGAGCGCCACAATGTTGTGGGCATGAGCATAGACAATTTCTACAATCTCCACTGCTCTTTTGAGCTCTTCAAAATTTTCCATATTTCGTCTTCCGTTTCCCATTTCAGGTCATAAGTCAAGTCATTCGGGGTGTTTACTTCATCTGGTGATGTGAAATTATTAGTCTCTGTAGCTCCTAAACAAATTATAGAAAAGACACTTGTAGATTGGCGGTGGTGAGGAAGTCAGCAACAAAATTAGCGAGGATGACTGCGATGCTTTCCCTCAATTATGGATCTAAGATGAAGCACAAGAACGATACTTAAATATATTTTGTGGTGATGACTACGTCAACTTGGGAGTTCGGCCTTGAGTCCCGAACCAAAGTAACTTCTCTCACACTTTCTCTCTTCTTACACTTTGTTTGGATCACTCTTCTCCGTTGTTTTATAATATATTGTATTGTATTATATCGTATCGTTTTATGAATGTAATGTTTGAATAAATTGCATGATTTGTTATTGTTAAATAATATTTAACTGTTTGATTTGATTGAATCGTATTGTACTGTAACTGATAAGTTTACTAAAATATCCTCAATTATTTAAATATTAAATTTATCAAAAATTATGCATAAAAATAATTTAAAAATCAAAACAGAAAAATGCAAAATACCTTAAGAAAGCAGAACAAAGGAGCGAGACAGAAGAATGCAAAACAAAGGAGCACAACCAATTAGAATTGAGTTAAAAGCAAATTAGGAGAAAAAATAAAATAGAATGCAGCAAAACACCTTTAACGTTGACTGTAGAAGTTTTAGAAAAAAACAAAGTAGATTATAGGTTGAAGATTGAAGTTAAAATAGAAAAAAAAAAAGTAAAAGGTAAAATAGAATTGTGGAGTAATAAGTTAGGGCATAATTAGAAAGAAAAATAGGAAACAATCCCACCACACCAAATTGGTTGTTTCAAAAAAGGAATTTTTCATTATTCCGGAACAATGAATTTAACAATACAATACAACCAATTTTAATGAAACAATAAAAACAAACATTGTTTTGGAATAATAATACAATACGATACAATAGGGAACAACCATCCAAACAAGCTGTTAAACTTCATCTTAGGTTAATAATAATGTCTAATACTTCATAAAGTTCAATGCATTCCATAAAACATCATATTCACCGCTATGGAGATTACTATAAGTTTGAGGACTTCAATATGTCGAAGAGTTTGGGATTCCAAAGTTTAGAGTAATGTTTGTCCATTAATATTTAAATAGGATATGAGATTTTACTCATTCATCAATAATTACTTATTGCATGGTACTGAATAAAGGGACTTGCAACTATTTTAGGAGGCACTATGAACCAACGATTAACCAAAACTCGTTGTTGAGAAGTTCCTCGGTTGACGATTATACCTGGTCTTCACAAAACAATATGAAGAGAAGACCTAAAAGATAAGTTGACCAAAATTGTACATGAGAGAGATCATGTGAAAAAACAATGGAATGAAGATGGAAAGCAGAGGAACCGTTTAAAGTTGATATGTGGTTATTGTCGTTGTTTGTTATTTGAAAATATTATATTATTGATCAGATTTGTCTTTATCGTTTGTATGTATTTTGTATCATCAGTACATTAGCGTTATCATTTC